ACTACCCCCCTCCCTCTCTTATAGTTCTAGTATACCTAAGATGAGAACCAATAAGCTGAAGTTTAACAGTAAGAGAACCTAGAGGAAATATATTCTCTGGAACCCGGGTTTGATCTTCCAATCTCTCCTGGTTTCAAAACACAATATTCTTTAATCTCTTCAAAACAGTGATTTCAACGGACTGTGAGCATTTTTTTGATTTCCTCAAAGGTGCAAAGATTCACAATTGTTACCCTTAAAAGCTTTGTCAGTACAAGCAGGAATGAGATATGCATTTTTTTGTTTATTTTAAACTGTTTATTTTCGATCGTGATATCTTGCTAATGTGACTTGCGCATTTCTTGCTTATAAGAAACAGTAAAAATACACAAAGTTAAAAAATAGAAATACAAAAGTATTGAAAGAAGTTTTTCAAAGATTCCAATATTTTTCCATAATTAATGAAATTTAAATATACTAAAACAAAAATATCTTTGAAATTTTTATTTTTTTATTTGTAAAATAGAGTGTTTGCCTTGTAGAAACTATCCACCAGGGTTTCAGGACTGGAGGAGAATAGCTCCAGTAGTCTCCGAGTACTTACAAGGTTCGTATCCGAGGGAATCTTTTCTCCGTAGAAGAAATTTATCAGAACCTGAAGAAACCAATTAGAAAATTTTAAAAATTTTAATTAAAATTATCAAAAATAATTGGAAGTTCATTCTTATGTTTTTAACTTTTTAGTTAGATTTAATATTTTATTAACTGAAAACAAACCTAAAATAAAAAAAATGTACTTGTAAAAAAATCCACTAGAGCACTTTTAAAAAATTAAAACTCCTTTCTACCGAAGTTTATTTCTATGTTTTATTTAGACATTTGATTGCTTTAAAATGTCATTAAACATCCGAGAGATATTGGGCATTTCCCTCAAGCTTTAATTTTCTAATCCCTATATCCCCTGATATTGAAAACATTGACTGATTGGTTTAGCCCAAAATAAAATATCAAAGGTATCTGACACCAGATTGCAAAGATATAAAAAAGTATCCTACCTTAAAGGTTTCATAAAGACTAACAAAGAATTGCCGGGGTTTTCTCTTCTCAATACTCTTATGCAGAATATCAGACAATGATTTAGAGGACACTTCCCACATCACAGAGAGAACACGCTCAAAGTTTGCTGGAACCAACCTATGCTTGAGAAATATCAGGTTCTCATCTAGGTACTGGAGAAGGTTTCTCCGGTCTGACTCATTAGCACAGTAGACCTGACCTTCGAACAGAAACCGTTCTATTGTCGGGGCCATCTTGGAGCCAACTTCTTCTAAAATGGAGAGAATTTGATTTTCAACATTTTCTATAGAATTCTTCATCAGGGTTCGAATAGTTTTTCTACAGGCGTCTGCAACCAAACCTCCTTTCTGTTCCTCTAGTTTTAACAAGACTCCTTCTATACCCAATTCACTGACAAATTGATTGATATAGGTTTTCACGTAATCAATATTATTTATGGCAAGACATTGTTCCCCACTGCACTGTAGGTTCTGATAGCGTAAGCTCATGATTTTCTTCTGTTCTTCGGCCTTTGCGCACATTTTATCCGCGTAGAATATAATTGCGCGGCAAACATCGTCTAAAATCCGCGAAATAAAAACATAACTTGTTTCAACATCGGGCCAGGACAGCTGGGTCCAAAATGTTCTGATCTGGCTAAGTACTGTTCTCACGTCTACGGCCGACGACGAATGACTACTTAAATCGTCGACTGGTTTCAAATCGTCCAACTGAACCGCCTTCACAATTCTCACCATAGCTTTATACAGCGCGATATCTAACCATTTAGCAACAGCTCTGATAAACCAGCTGTGAAATATAGTAAACTCCTCTCTAGGGTCCTCCTTCTCCTCCTCCTCCTCCCTACTGTGCTTGATCACGTTGAACCCGAGGGAGTAGAACTGCTGGAGAGCCAGATACAGCTCGTACAGTTGAGTTCCAACTGTTAAACTAGATTTTACAGCTAATCCTTCCTCTTCAGAGAATAGAATAGGTTTCATATCATCACACGCCTGTAAGAAATATTTTCAGTAAAAGTATTTAATTTACAAATATGGCTAAATAATAAATAATTGCATCCAACCCAATGTAAAATAGGGGCCTTGGATGATCCCAAACTAAATTATTTAAACTTGTATCTGTGTGATGTTTCTGTAAAAAGAATATAATATATTTATACTTTCTTAGTTTTGGGGTCTGGTTTAAAAAGTTGCATTCCGTATTCACATTGGTTCCCTTTAACCCGTTGTTTAAACAAAAATATCAAATTTAGCTTTGTTTTGATTTCCGACCATTGATATTTTCCAAAGGAATTTTCTCTGTTAAAGAGTGAATTGCGAATGTTTTAGACAAAAAATGAAATTGTCAAAATTTAACACTTTCTTCCTCTTTGTAATGTAATAATGTCCTCTTTGTAATTTACCTGGTCTATCAGAGATTTTGTTATTAGTGTAATATTCTGATCAAACAATATATACCTGGTCTATCAGAGATTTAGTTATAAGTGTGATATTCTGATCAAACAATATATACCTGGTCTATCAGAGATTTAGTTATTAGTGTGATATTCTGATCAAACACTATATACCTGGTCTATCAGAGATTTAGTTATTAGTGTGATATTCTGATCAAACACTATATACCTGGTCT